GTGTTTATTAACAGCTCAGTACTGCTCGTTGCTCTCTCGGTCAGTTGAGTCTCTGATTCCCAGTTCAGTAATTGTCCCATGAAATTAAAGTTTGGAGATATGACCGATCGCCTTTTCTTGACATACTCATAAGCTTCGTCTAGCCTCAGCCGATGCCTGCTTATAAGGTAGGCGAGGCAAATGGTAGCTGATCTGGAGATGCCTGCTTGGCAGTGAACCAACACTCTTCCTTTTGAGTTCTTCACTGAGTCTGAAATAGGATTAAAATAAAGAAAAACATCAAACAAATTTATCTTACAGAGCTAGGTAACTCGAAACATATTACAACTTCCTCTACGCCTCAAAAAAATTAAATTTGAGTCAAAGGAAGATAGCGGCAAGGTAAAAAAAGACCAGCATAAATTGTGTTTGGATCTTTAGCTAGGCCTGTATTATAAATATATTGTTGAGAAACTTCCGCCCACACGTATTGTAAAGGGAATTCTTTCATAATATCTGTTTTCCGGAACGTGCCCATTTTGTCTCTTTTTACAATGTTAAACAACATTTTGTAAACAAAAATTCGTCGAGAAACATCTGATAATGTTTTGCAAACAGAGGCGCAATATGTCTTGTATTAATATCCGATTATTCTATAAAAAGTTATACAAATATCCAACTATTTGCTGTTTCAGTGTGGAACAAGGTTGGTTGTGAAAGTCCCGATGAGCTTTCGATTTTTACTTTCCAATCAACGTCTAGCACCAACATTTAGGAGTACGAAACTTATTATTGCCAAGCAACGTATCTGACAAAAGAGGCGCGTGAAGACACAATTTTGTACAATACAAGATGTTCGAAAGATCTTCTTACCTATAAACGCAGCAGCTTCCTCGAACCATCGGCCAATATCTGCTGTATAAGTATCATCTACTGGAATAGACTTGTAATGAAATGCCTCCTCAAAAAAGTTCGGAATATTTCTTGATACATTCACAATAGCAGTAATCCCCAGGCGCTGAAGAAGCTCTTTCTGGGACGCATGAATTTCACTTCCAAGATATAAATGTGGTAAAATCTCCACTGGTTCATTTGCATTCACTGACGAACTTGGACGTGACTCGGCGAAATCCTTCATTTCTGTGTCGTGTCTCGGGCTGAATGTTCTTTTAGAATCTTTCGTTTTAAGCTTTAACCCAAGCGGAGATGTAGTTGTTTGTGACGGCGATTGTGGTTTAGCAAAGTAGCACATCGAAGGGTACGAGGAGGAGAACCTTTCAAAGCCTCCTAAAACAAAAACAGCAAGAATAGGATTTAATGAAATATTCTGAAATGTTGATGTTTTTATTTTGATTTGTCAGGAAATACGTGTCATCCAGGGCAAGGGGTCATAAGAACTTCACTATAAAGTATATTCATAGTTAGTCTAATTATGGTAGAATTAACTAACGAAACTGAATCACTTGGACATGAAACTGTTATTTTCTTAATGCTTCTTTCAGTTTCTTATACGATTTGTTGAAAGTGATCGTGTATTATTTCACATTGTTTGACATGATGCATCGCACGTCTCCGTGACAAAATAACCGTGACGTCATGTAACGCTTTGTTATTTTAACAAGTTGAAAAGTTAACACAGCGTCACCAAAATATAAGTAACGCTCGTACAGTCTCACTGGTTTAGAAGTGATTTCAAAACCCTACATGTTAAGTTTGAAGGATCCATAAACTCGCTGAGAAACCTGACCACAGTAAAAATATGGGAAGGATTACTTGGAAACGTGATACATGCTGAAATGCCTGTCACAGCTGGTCAGAGGAATCACGTTTTGGCGCGTTGTAAACCCGCCAGAACCGGTTGTGTCAAAATTAAAATTTGAATGATAAGAGATGAAAGAAGTTACGAATGCGCTCGAACATCTTCAGCAGCGGAAACATTTTTTTATGAAGGAAATCCGTTTTTGATTTCTCGGATCATTAGTCATAACATTTGCGTATTTTACAGAACATCTTTAGGAAAATGTGTGAGGGTTGCGCTACTGGAGACTGGATCAGAGTTGTTTTCTTTCTTCGCACGTGATGCTTTTGTTATGTTCCCTCCATTTTCATAACAATGAAACTCATTCATTCATGAATTCTTGATGGCTACGTAGTGGCTTTGTTATCGTATGTTTATCACAACACTCGCTTTCATTCAAGCGAGGAATAACAGATAAAACCAACACACATTGTAATATCCCATCTAGTTTTGAAATTTTTGAAATTACTACCTTGAAGTTTTTACCTACATAAGGCAATCATTTGCAACTAACGATGGAATGGTAAAGATATGTTCACAGGCTATAAACACGTGGCCAACTTAACAATGGATATCACAGACCTGAACCGTAAGAACGAGAACAGCGGCAATAGCCGAACATAGCTTACCTTTAATGAAATATAAGTTCTTGTTTATTCTCTCCCTCCTTAGAAGCATATAAATTATCTTCATTGTATTGTCCATTTCCAAGTCTTTCCAGTCCTGTGTTCTATCCTCATATAAAATCAAAGTTTCTGCGTCGGCAAGCCTTCGTTTCGACTCTGGAGACGTGAGTAAGCAATCTAAAGTGGATGTTCCTCGGTGGAGTCTTCGTTTCAAGATAGGTGGGCAGTGAACGTTCAGTGACCCCTTGATATGCGAGGCGTTAAATGACAGAAATGAACGGCAGTCAATAACTATGCACTTCTGACTCAGAGAACTAGCCATGTTTACAACAGTGAGTGGGGCAAGGGGCCAGATTAATATGTCACTTTCATCCATTGCAACCATACTCTTTGATTCAGCGATGATTTGACCAATAACTGAATTACGGTGTGGCTTTCCTTGTTTACTGAAAGAAATTATACACCAGCGATTATTTAGTGATGGATAGACTTCTGCTTCTACGGGCGCACTTCTCTGTAACTGATGTTCAGTTCAACAAGCCCGCGTTTATATTCTCTTTATTCCCGCCCAGCTCTCATGTTGCTATTTTGATCATGCGTGACGTCATTGAAAAGGCGGTTTTGTTACGTCGTGTCGTGTCTCACGAGTTTGTCCCGACCTATTATTTCCTTTCATTGGCGAAAGCTAATACCGCGACGACAGATGAACAATACAAGAACAATAAGCAAGACATTCCACTCGTGACAGAAATGTTATCAGGTTTCTAAATGACGTCCTTTAAGGCAATTAGACCTACTTTCATCAAGTATCGACTATCAAATTCTAAAATTCTTAGTATATTTGCGCAATTCATGTATTCGTTAAGTTAAAGGTTTTAAAATTCCAAGCTTTGAGCGCATAACATTTTTTTGTGTTAAATAAGGATAATTAGCAGTCATCCAGAGCATTTCGTTCCATCAAGGGGTATCAGAAGAAATTTTCTGTGTTGTAAATCAAAGCGAGAGAGAGAGAGACGAAAATCTATGGGATAAATTATTACGACTAGAACCCGTAAAGAACGCCAAGCACTTTCTCTTTACTATCACATTTCCAAGCCCAAACATGGCTATTGAAAGAAAAACAAACCAGTATTGTGGACGCTCGTCAGTTCTTTTTATAACAATAAGCAAATTGCTATAATTTGATCCGTCACTCTCCCAAAATAGTAAGCACCAATCACTGATCTGGAAAACAAGTATATATATATATATATTTTTTGTTTTCTTGCAAAGACACATCGCATTGCTACATTTGCACATTTTGATAAATTGTTTTGCAGTTTTCGTTGGCGCCATCTGTACATACAAGCGATCAAAGTGCTTTTGTGGTCATGTTATCTTCATAAGAATGCAGATAAGATATCGCTGCTAATATTCCAATTGACCACAGCGCCTCTCCTTGAATTCCACACATCAAGTTATAAAAATCATATTGCCAAATTTAAAAATATTCGGCCTTGATTTTAGAAGCTAAAGCCGGCATTGAAGTCCGTCAGGCCTTGCCCATTAAATGAGGCCGTCAAACTTCAGTTTTAAGCTTCTGGTTCCTTCAACCGGATAAAAGCAGTGGAAAGGCCGAGATTTTGGTATTGTGTGGGAATGCAAGGCCTAAAGTTATATTTTCCCTTATGTAGCGACGATAAAATACCGCATCAAAGAACAATTAGCTAACACACTTAAGTTCAAACGGTAGCTCAGATCAGTTCCCGTTAGTTGAACATCCCCAAACTAATTATGTGCAAACAGTGCGTGACTTGTTGGGTTCCGGTTCGTTTCTCTCACACCCTATTTCCGTTCAAGCTAAATATACTCCTGGCATCATTACAAGCTGGCAATTTCTTTTTACTTAGGCCAACCTTGTTTTCCTTTCTGACATGCTATAGCTAGATTCGGAATAACGCCGGCTGCTCGTAAAAAAACTACTGCGCCCTTCAGATTTAAGTTTGACCTTTTGTACTGACCGTTCGCCGACGGTAATATTAATTTCTTACAGGTGAAACAACTACTTTTATTGTGTGGGCAGTGTTAACTCTCTGATATGTATTGGAAGTCACAAAATGGTAATAGCCGCTGATATTTGATTTCGGCAGTATCGAACCATTTTTGGACTCGCTTTTCTGCTCCGCAGGAACGGGTCTTTTGGGAGAGTACGTAGGTGGGAGGCTTGCTCTACCCGGCGGCCGACTGAGCATTTCACCGCATTACCTCTGAGTAGGCAATGTACTAAGAGGAAATGAAACTCCAAGGACTGAACATCGGCACTCAGTGAAAAAAGTAAAGCCATACCGAATGTAAAACCTTGCTCGATAAGTTATCCAGAAATAACGGAGCAGTTTGTTTCCCCTAAGGATTTTACTCGAATGAGAAGACTGGCGAAAAGTAAAATGTTTCGGCAAGTAAGCAATTTCCTCTACGAATTTTGCTGAGTTGCTAGAAATGTCTACCTGTTTTACAGAGAGTAGCTGAGAGTCCTATTAACTTCTAGTCACCTAGTCACTTATAAAACAAGTGTTTTCGTGTTTCCATAGTTGATATAATGGCCGTGATAATGAGCCAGTTCTTTAAATGAACTGACTCTGTAACAAGTAACTCCAGGTTCTGTTCTGACTTGGTTTCCCAATACAGCCGTACTGTAACTCAAATGGAATGTAGTCGACCTTTTTTAGCTTTCCCCCACAGTATGTGATTTTACAAGATCCGCCATAACTCATCAGAATTTTGATACCATTTTGTTAAAACTATTTTCGTAGACCTAGTCTCAACTGCTTCCGTTTTTAAGCTAAAAATAATTCCAACAATAAGAACAAATTTTAAATTTCATTTTGTTAATGTTATTTAGTCTGTTGAGTGATATTTTTTGACGAAGTTTAATCTATGATTCTATGATTCTATGATTCTAGCTGGGCATGTACCGTGACAGTAGCCAGCTGATTTCACAAAAACAACAACAACAACTGTGACAACAAGCTGTGGCCAGCCAAACAAGCTTCTACATTAGGCTTAGGCTCAAGATTTTTCGAGCCAGTGTGGAAGGCGAAGTTACGAAACGTTTATGGAAAACTGAAAAGAACTTATGACTTCAAACTCCCTTCTAATATTAGTTAAAGGAGTACGATGACTGCTAAATGGTAGAATATTGATTTACTATTCATCCCATGCTCTCGCAAACTCCGGCGTAGAATAGTAAAATAAGAGTTTTGATACACTACGATTCTTTCGATTCTCCAATAACTTTATTTCTCCGTGTTCCGTTCTTCGATTCTCCATTTTTTTTCGATTCCACATTTCTTCTCATTCCCCGATTATTCTGATTTTTCGCCGGAGTTCTGGTCTAAAACCGGAAAAATCAGAAACTTTGATCAGCAAGGGACGGTATAGTTGCATGCAGTACGAATTGAGGGTGCGGCGGCAGTATTTAAGGGCTCCACACACCTTCAAGACAAATCCCAATTTTAGTTATTCCGCTTTTTAAATGGCTATACAAGTCCAGAAAAGTAAATTCTGGAATTGTATCATATCCAGAAGATAAAAGGTAGCGGTTTAAGAAAAATTTTGTGAAAATATCGGAAGCGATCGGCAGAATACAAGCGGACTTGGTGCTTGAAGTTTATGCAGAGATCACTAGAAAAATTTCTTTTATAATGATGCATTTGAATACGAGGAGACATTGAGATGAATCTCCGCTCTGATTTAGACTACAGATCTTTGCCAGTTGCCTGAACATAGTTGTAACAGCTTGTGAATACCGACACGGCAAACGGTGACGAATATTTTACAAGCAAAAATTAAAATCCTGCCAATTTTTGACTCATGTACACTGTATGTAGAAGCTCGTCGCATAAAAGTAAACAGAGAAACATTGGAAACATTTCCTTAATTCCTTCTAAAGTCAATTTTTATCACTTTTTATTTTTAAATGTAATTTTACTTCGTCATTTTGGGGTTGTCCCACTCAACAATTTCCACATACTGTAGGCTAGCTTGTGTTAATTTTCTTTGATGAACTCAATTTTAGCGGTCTGATTTTTTTTCCCCTTTTCTCTTCTGTCATCCCATAATTATATTTATAAGTAACAGACAAGAACCAGGGGGTTATTGATTTCTATATTTCTTCCTTCGCTACTATTCTTGCATGGNTTTGAATACGAGGAGACATTGAGATGAATCTCCGCTCTGATTTAGACTATAGATCTTTGCCAGTTGCCTGAACATAGTTGTAACAGCCTGTGAATACCGACACGGCAAACGGTGACGAATATTTTATAAGCAAAAATTAAAATCCTGCCAATTTTTTACTCATGTACACTGTATGTAGAAGCTCGTCGCATAAAAGTAAACAGAGGAACATTGGAAACATTTCCTTAATTCCTTCTAAAGTCAATTTTTATCAGTTTTTATTTTTAAATGTAATTTTACTTCGTCATTTGGGGGTTGTCCCACTCAACAATTTCCACATACTGTAGGCTAGCTTGTGTTAATTTTCTTTGATGAACTCAATTTTGGCGGTCTGCTTTTTTTTTCCCCTTTTCTCTTCTGTCATCCCATAATTATATTCATAAGTAACAGACAAGAACCAGGGGGTTATTGATTTCTATATTTCTTCCTTCGCTACTATTCTTGCATGGACAAATTATAAAACATATTTATCCCCGTGAACATATAAAACTCTTCTGTTTTATCAACCTAACCCGTCCACAGTCGAAGAAAAATTCTGTCACACGAGGGCAAAATATTTGTAAGTTTTGTCTGTTAATATGTAGAGAATCAGAAAAGGAAATGATCTATGAAAAGAAAAGAAGGATCACCGACCATGTAAGAAAGTCAACTGTAGGCGCACCCAGTGCCAAGCCCTATACTTGCTTACCGTAAATCCTCGAATAAGCGCCCCCCTCTCGCGCCCCCCTCGAATAAGCACCCCCATTTTGTGGACGAGTAGTGAGACAACAAAGGATGTATAGTTTTTGTCGTGTACTATTAGATTTGTGCATTGCTTCAGTTTGTGAAGAAATAATATAAATAAGAAATAACGAAGAAATAACACGTCTGCTCCACAGCAGATATGCTAACGAAGTGGGAAAAGTATCCTTGCTATTTAAAAGGTTATCGATTCGAAAATATACTTGAAAACTCCAATGGTCAAGAACCTGGGACCGTTCCTATGACGCTGCGCTGATAGCTGGTCACCTCAGTCTCNTTTCGATTTTTACTTTCCAATCAACGTCTAGCACCAACATTTAGGAGTACGAAACTTATTATTGCCAAGCAACGTATCTGACAAAAGAGGCGCGTGAAGACACAATTTTGTACAATACAAGATGTTCGAAAGATCTTCTTACCTATAAACGCAGCAGCTTCCTCGAACCATCGGCCAATATCTGCTGTATAAGTATCATCTACTGGAATAGACTTGTAATGAAATGCCTCCTCAAAAAAGTTCGGAATATTTCTTGATACATTCACAATAGCAGTAATCCCCAGGCGCTGAAGAAGCTCTTTCTGGGACGCATGAATTTCACTTCCAAG